GTAAACTCATGGTAGGCACACTGAACTGCGTGTCTACACTGTCTGATTCCATCAACTTCGCGCATAATGTAAATGCGCCATCAAATTCATACCTAAATATCTTTGGAGAATAGACCTTTCAAGATTTCAAATAAAATGTCTCTCTTTACATAAACTAGATTACTTTGACTTACTCTGGCAAATCTGGGTGCTGTTGTGCTTGTTTCCACTTCGCAATAGTAAAGTTTTCATAACCATTCTCTTTCAGGAAGTGCCTTGCTAATTCCACTCCACCCTCCAACATTTTGGATATAATAGAATCCATCAGAAAAGACATGGTTACTGAAATATAAACAAAAATACAGGGTTATTTGTAAGAAAAACCAGTAACCTCGCAAATACAATCATTTTTTTTTTTCACCAAAATCAATTAAAAAAATATTTATAGTAGGTACTATCGTAACACTTGTAAGTCTATGGCACCATCCTACTTTAACATTCATAAACGTCAAAAATCTGTCAAACTCCATACAAAAAACACTGGTTATCGTTAAAGTTACAGTCAAAGTTAAGTGGTGCAACTCAGCCTATGTCTCATTCATAAACAAAATAACAATGACAATCGTTTGTTAACATCTTGATAATAGTGTAGTACTAGTACTCTTTTACAGTTAATAGCATTTACGAGTAGTAAGGTAGTTAAAAGCTCTTACATAATGGCTCAAAGTAGTATCTACTAATAGACAGTTTGACATCATACCCCAAAATTCGAAACCACAACTTTTTTAAAAAGACCCTTCATTCTGGTCTTAAAAACTTAATTTATTTTAAATTATACTTCGTATCTCTCCCGAAGATGATTATGTTTTACATGCAGCAGTACCTGGGATGATGCCGTCCTTATCACACTTTTAGAGAATATTTATTTAAAAATATAAGTTTTAAATATAATAAAGTACGTGTTTTGACTCCTCAGCACCGTAGTACATTCCGCGGTCCGCCATATTTCTTGTCATTACTTGTGTTGGTGTTCGTCCGACTCACACGTACTTTTTCAATAAAAATAACTTAGCGTAAAAATGGGTAAAAGGAAACGATCAAGTAATGGTGATAATAGTGATATGGTGAAAAGTTTGTTAAGAAACCTCGTATGTACATAGACAACGACAAATTATAGTTTTATCTGATGATGACGAACCAGAAAAAACATCTTTGTCTCCATCGTGCAGTCACTGCAGATTTGCAGACATACATACATACATATTTAAAACATTCTGGTAAGTTGTGAATCGTGTATTTTAAAATTGTTATGAAATAATGTGAATAATTTCTATTTTTTGTATTAAAAATGAATATTTTCAACTACCCTCCGTGGTAATACTTTGTGTCCCGACTTAATCGTGTGTGGATACTAAACTACACGTACAAAAATCGTGTTATACAAAATACATAAACATCCCGACGTAAATCGTGTGTGGATGCTTTATTGCTTATCCCGGCGTATATCGTGTGTGGATACTAAACTACACGTACAAAAATCGTGTTATACAAAATACATAAACATCCCGACGTAAATCGTGTGTGGATGCTTTATTGCCTTTGAGCGTATTAATTATCCCGGCATATATCGTGTGTGGATAAGACATTTTGAAACTGATTGCATTTTGCTTTGATTATTTTCCTAACGTATTATCATATAACGTGGGTAGACGTATCAACACGTCGTAAAATAGTATAACATAATTATAAATATAATAATATACAATATACATGGGGTATTTATAATTTATTACCCTATCAAATACAAAAATCTTTATTGTGAAGTATTACTAAAATAGCATACAATAATTACCTACATCAGACGAAAATACCGGGTATTTTTCAAGACAAAGCCTTTCAAAGACTTTCACAATGATCTAGCANTACGTACGTAAACCTACATACGTACCTCATGACATATAAGTAGATTAATTATTTTTTCACTAGACAGCAACCCTAACAGCGTAAGAAGAGTTCAGAGGCACGCGATAGAAAGAGACAAAACTTGTAGGTGAATAAAATTGTAGGTACATAGTGCTGTGCGAGCTGAATTCCACTGTATCGCGTCGTAACAAGATTCGCATTTATTTAAATCGTCTTGCGGAGTAATCCTTCTGTACCTGTACTATTACTTATTCTGTGCTGCTAGTGACGTTGTTATATGCACACGTGTAACATAATATTTGTACATAATAACAAGTAGATACAGTGTTACATAGTGGGGTTTTGACACGTCGATTGTCGAGCTACAAAGCTGGATTTCATTAGATGTCCATTCTTAACATAAACAGGAGGCTGCACAAGCCGGCCACACCCACCACTTGAAAACCTTTTCCTAGTTTTCGCTTTCAATCAAATACCTATCGTTCTCTTTCGTCCAGAGCAGTGTTGCCAGAAGGTTACTTTTGTAACCTTTTAGGTTACTTTTGAACTGCAGTGGTTACTTTTAGGTTACACTAATGAAAAGGTTACTTTTAGGTGATTTTTCAGAAATTGTAGAATTAACTTTACAGGTTATTCAGTAAAAAATATTAATAGTGACAATTAAAAAATTATGTCATAAAGTGGATTTAAACTTGAATTTGATTTATAAGGAACTGGCAAAGAGGCTCACCGAGGTGACCGGTGATCAAAAGGCTGGCAGCTATTTTGGTCAGAGAATTAGCCTGGCCATTCAACGTGGCAATGCTGCCAGCCTTTTGGGCACCATTCCTGACTGCGGCGCTGGGGGTGAAGTATTATTTATTTTGTAAATAGTTTTTATAATTTTTAAATTTTAGTTTTTAAGTCATTTTAAGTTAATGAATTATTATAAAATTTATTCTCGAATAAATGTACCAACAACGAATAGGCTTCAATTTGATTTATTATTTGTTAAAAAAAAAAACGCAAATCCATGAAACGTTTTTATACGACTGGTCACTTTTCGAATTTAGATGATCAATTTTATTGTATTCATTTTCCATCCATGAANACATAATCATCTTCGGTCAAGACACTCGTATAATTAGATATCAAACATCACAGGTAAGTTCGTTTGATTCTTAATTATCTGTAAATTACGATTTTTGTTCGCATTGTAATTGAAAAAAGTAGTTTGATTGAGTTGACAAAATAGTGACGTCACTTGCTTGTAGTGCCATACAAAATCTATGGGAGAGTTTCATTTTGACAGTTTTAAAAAGTACGTCAGTTGATTGGTGGTGTCAACATGTCTATTGTAATTAGATACCTACTTAACATGGTAACTAATAGGTACAAGCTGAGATCTTTTGGCGAATATTTAGGAATAAATTGATTAGATAAGACAATGAGAGTGCAATTGCACTTATTGGCTCAGAAAATTACTAATAACGCACTAGCGGCCGCCCGCGACTTCGTACGCGTGGATCCCGTTTTACCCCCTTTGGGGTAGAGTTTCGTAAAATCCTTTCTTAGCGGATGCTTAGGTCATAACATCTTCCTGCTTGCCAAATTTCAGCCCGATCCATCCAGTGGTTTGGGCTGTGCGTTGATCGATCACTATGTCAGTCAGTCAATCACCTTTGAGTTAAGTATATTGTATTTAGATTTTAACAAATGCAGATATTTTTTCTAAACTAAGTATATGTTTAGCAACAATTTTGTTTGCCACGTTGAATCAACATAAAAATCTGAACATACATTAAATTATGCAATAATTAATCTCCGTAATGGTGAAGAAATACTCACAAACTTTTAGATTGTTCACTTCCGTTGTTAGTTAAATCTGATAAATTATTGACACAGACTACTGTTGAAACACTTCCACGTATTAACGAGTTTTAACAGAATAAAATAAGTCTTTGTCTCAGAGCAGATTACAACAGGCTGACTAGTTAGTAGGTACTTTGTCTCGATAGTGTGACAAAACGGTAATTCCCCTACCATCAATTGTTTGGTGTTGCCAAATAAAAAATACTATCCACACGTGACACCGTGACTGGGTATTTCCAGCGATTTCCATGTTAATATTGTTTTGTGTTACCAGCTATAAAATACTATAAGTACACACGTGACTCGTGACTGGGTATTTCCAGCGATTTCCGTGTTATCTGTTACCAGCTGTTCGTGCTTTTATGGTAACAAAACGGTAATTCCCTGCTATATTTTTTTTGTGTCTTGCCAGCTACAAAATACTGGTCCACACGTGACTCGTACTATCGGCCACTCCTATCCATTTGCGTTTTTGCTCTCGCTCTCATCAAATGGGATTCTTTGCGATAGAATGAGACGATATGACTGGCAATGGGTAGTTACATAACTGTTGCCGATAGTAGGTACGTGACTAGGTATTACCAGCGATTTGCGTGTTATTTGTTTCCAGTAAAAACTAGTACTTCGTGACTCAGTTAGGTAGGTATAGATAAAGTGTCATTATGATTGCTAAAGGCGATTTTGTTACCCTGATCTGCTAGCAATTCTATTCCATCCTATCCTTAAATACTTCCTACAGTTCCTACTAATAATATTATTAAATGTGAGTTTGTGAGGATAGATGGAATGATGTTTTTTACTCTTTCGTGCAAAAACTTACTAAACGAATGTAGACCAAATTGACAAGTGAAAATTGAATTCTTAAATTACGCCGATCTTAAGTAATAGTATAATAGTTGTTGTGACCACAGCTCACAGCTATGATTATTAGAAAAATACCTTACCACAAAATTAACTACGGCTTTACTTCGTTAGCGCCATCTATCGGCGGAGTTCAATTGTTACTGTCGCCTGATACGCGCTATTTATAGCACGTGCTAAATGATGTATGTAATTTCATGTGTTGTTATAGATGGCGCTGATAATGTTGCTCGAATTTTCATTTCTTCAGAAATATAACAAAAACTCAATGCTTTAGGTGTATAAAGTAGGTAAATAAATAATACTATCGAATGGACAACTTAACAATGTCCTCCGAGCCACGATATACCTAACTAAAATAAAATAATTTGAACGCTAAACACATTTATTCTTATGATTAAATTAATATTTTATCTTTGAAATGCAATATCTTTATTGGATCTATCTTCGTTTGTATTTTCATAACGCATCTTTCACAGCTTCCGTGATGTAGTACACCAGAACTTCACTAATATCATCCTGGAAAATTAAAATTTGTAGTTATAATAAGGCACACAAAACATGACAACGATCAACACTGGTTGGTCACACTCTTTTTTTTTAAATATAGGTTAATCAAGACTTACGCCCGTATTCACAAACGATGCTTGCTAAAGTGAAGCAGCAAATCGAACGCACAGCGTTAAATAGAGCTCTGTGATTGGTTCGTATGTCACCCTGTGCGTTCACGAGTACTGTGAGACCTCATAGTAATGTTTGTGAATACGGGCGTTACTCCACGACACTTTCCAACTCAACAGGCCTGTATAGCTAGAATTTACAGCTTGGGTTCTAAATTCTAATGAAACCCACCCAGTAAAAGGATTGAACTGTCTTGGACAACTACGAATATACAGGGTGGAATTTTGTAATGCCACCTGGAGGGAAAGTACTCTTAATACTGTAGATAGAAAATTTTACTCAAAGAACACATTCCTTTATTTTTGAAAAAAAAATAGAACTACATTCAAAGATTTCCAAAAATTTGAATGCCACACCCGGGAATCGAACCAACTAAAATATGTTAAAAATTACACCCTGTATTTTTATTGCATAGATCGTTAGGGTCAAGTTTAAGGATGAATTATCTCCAACGAACTTGATAAATTAAATGAAAGGAAAACCATGAAATCTTAAATTATTTTAATTATTTACAGAAAATTGTATGGTATGGTAGTAAAATATCGAAAAATTTTCAAAAATCTTTGAATGCAGTTTTATTTTTTTTTTTCAAAAATAAAGGAATGTTTTCTTTGAGTAAAATTTTCTATCTGTAGTATTAAGAGTACTTTCCCTCCAGGTGGCATTACAAAATTCCATCCTGTAGGAGGAGTTCGAAATTGAATATTGTATACAGACTGAAAACGATAAGTGATCTCACTCGGTTATTTCTAAACTAAGTACATATACAAGATATCGAAAAACTGATCTTAAAAGTGCTTCACGAGCTCTATCTGATAGAGCGATTAGGTACGATATCTTATGTAGTTTTAATAAGTATGTGGCTGTACCAAATGTATGGAAACTGAAAACATAGAATTTTCGGATAGATCCAGTTTATTCTGTAACCTATTCATACCGTTCTCATGAAGCACTTTCAGGATCAGTAACTAGTTTTTCGATATCGTCTATATTTAGTTTAGAAATAATCGAGTGAGATCACTTATCGTTTTCACCCTCTATAAGTAGATAGAGTAACCTATTTATGTATGTACATACGTTGTAATCGTTGATCGTGCTGGGCAGTGTTGTGTTCAAGAACTTGTTCACTTTGCTGGAGATATCCTGGCCCATCCAGATGACCGTCATGTTAGACTGAAACAAAAATACAGGGTGTTAGGTAAATGGGTATATGAGCCGACACAAGCCCATGTTAACATGGGCATATAAATGGTACTAGCTTTCCGCCCGCGGCTTCGCCCGCGTGGAATTTTGTCTGTCACAGAAAAACTTTATCGCGCGCGTCCCTGTTTCAAAAACCGGGATAAAAACTATCCTATGTTCTTTCCCGGGACTCAAACTATCTCTATGCTAAATTTCATCAAAATTGGTTGCGAGGTTTAAGCGGGAAAGCGTAACAGACAGACAGACAGACAGACAGACAGACAGACAGACAGACAGACAGACAGACAGAGTTACTTTCGCATTTATAATATTAGTTGGGATGGTGAAGTCAGAAAATTGATATCTTCATTTTAATTATTTTAATTTTCATACAAATCGGATTTTATAAAATGTAACACCCTGTATATTATTAACCCTAAATAAAATTAAATACCTACTTTGTGATTCTGGCAGTGTAAATAGAAAGGGACAACTCTACTATGCGTGATGTCGTAAAAGGTAATTAAAGGACGTCGCACATTTATCAACACGGAAAGGGATCGTAACCGTATCAACTCGAGGAGGTCAGTATTTTTTGTACGAAACTCCATACTGCAACACTTATCCGCACCGTAACGTAAACGCCTCGCCTTGCAATTGACAGCTCGCGAAAGGCGATACGGTGTTGATCCCTTTCCAAGTTGATAAGTCTGCTATGACCTTAAGAGTAGGCGCACACCGTTGATTTGTAGTTGGCCGATGGTTGTGCCCGATTTTAATTTGTATGAAGAATCGGCCAAATCGAATCGGCGTAATGTGCGCACTCCCATACATGCCCATACTGATCAACTGCCCGACTAAACTATCGGCCGACGAAAAATCAACGGTGTGCGCCTACTCTAAGGGATAAATGTGCGAACATTCAGGCCTCCCCAATCCATCTGTTTATTCGTTTCAGTACATTCAAATGAGTAATGACATCCGCTGCTGAACAAAAGCCTCCCCCAAAGATTTCCATAACGACCGGTCCTGCGCTGGCCACATCCAGGTTCTTCCAGCGACCTTCACCAGATCGTTGGTCCACTTAGCAGGTCCACTGTGGTACCCGTGCGGTGGCTCCACTCACTGCCACTTATTAGCAAACCTGCAGGCTATATCTGTTACTTTGGTTTGGTTAATACCATATTAATGTTATAATGAATAAACTTACCGTAATCCGGCCGATGGGACAGCAAGGTTCTGGAGTGGAGGCCATGACCCTGAAAGCGCAGCGTAGGACGTCCCCATAAGGCGGGCTGACGACCTCATAAAGCTAGCAGGAAGGCGCTGGACACAGGCCGCCACCATTCGGCGTTTGTGGAAATCATTGGGGGAGGCCTATATGTTCAACAGTTGACGTCCTGTGGCTGAAATGATGATGATGATGGTGATGAACTTACCGTAATTTTACCTATTGAAAGAGTGGCTTCGACATCGCGAACTGTGATGCCCGACAATATCCCAATGTTGACAGAAACTTTGCCCGCTACATTGATGTCTGATATAGCAACACTGAAAAAATAATTTTTACTCAAAATAATAACGTGTTTGAGTATTAAGCAACGCCATCTAGTGCCAAAATTGGCAAAGTATTTTACAGAAAAATCAGGATTTATTTTACCTTCCGTTGTATTTTGCGGTTAAGTCCATGTTCATTAACTTGAATCTTACGTCGGTTTTATCTATAAAAAAAGAAAATTGATTCATTATTCAAGTAGAACTAGATAAGCAGCGGCAGGGTTTTGAAATGTAAAGGACGCATTTAAATATAAGAAATAAGAAGAATACGCATGTTTTCTTCTTATTTCTTATGAATTAATATTCGAGTTAGAAGATCTATGAAAGAAAGGTGAGTCTAGGTAGGTGTAGGCTAGACTAGCATTTGTATGTAATATAACGTTCTTACGAACGGTACAATACAGGTAAAATGTGTGACGTTTGGTTCGTGACAGATGATACACTATACGCTCGGTTGTTCTGTTACAAGTAAATGCTATAGTCTATACACCTTTATGTCTGAGACTGAGACCAGCACTGTTGGATTCATAATAATAATGTACATAGTTTATACTACCTACTTTATACTACTTTTTGGGACACCCTATATAAATTCTGATTGTGAATCTGTTTGTGGTGCTGTGAGAATAAATGAAAAGAAATGTCCAATACATACTGAAAGTGGCTGTGATGAGGGGTAAGGTGACCGAGTAGGTGATCCTGGACAGCAGCGTGTTGTATCGGAACTTGTCCAGCTCGATGTTGCTGATGCCCGTCACTCGGATGTCGCCGACTGTCGCGTTAACTACCAACAAACTGACAAAAACTGACAAATAAATAAATAAATCTTTCGCTTTGTTGGATAAATGGTGCTGAAATGACAAATAGTGAAATATGTAGTTTACACAAAATTCTCCATGCAATTAATTAACACAAGACAACTTATATATTAGCACCATCATCATCTTTTTCTTCTGATTCTTAGCACGAGCTAATATGTCGTCTACCTACACTGACCTACAGGATGGGATGAAATTAAAATCGTTGGCATCTTTGAAATAATCATGATACATGTGTGGCAAATCCTATGAGTTAAAATGGCCCCAATTTAGAGGACGGAGAGCTGGAGAGCAGAAACTAGTATGCATTTTTTAGAAACAAATGAATGACATAGGAGTATATTTTTTTTTACTAAATTCTCTTCGTGTAGAGTCGACCACGCTCATTCATCATCTTTTGACTAACTAATATGAGATGCTGTATGGTGACTGTATGACATCATGATCGCCCAAATGTACCTACTACGTTCTTTGTGGAATTAAAGTATAAATAAATTTCAGTAAACTCTCAGTAAAAATACTTACTCTGTCACGGGTAAAGAATAGTTGTAAGAAAAGCCCTTAATTTCTAAAGGGTCATATCCACTGTCTGTGAGGTTCTGGCTGATTTCTTTAATCTTTTTCTCAGCGAAGATCTCTAAAAAAATAAACATCGCTTTAGAGACTTCTTTTAAAATGTAAAGTTGCTTCGATAAATGCTAGGTATTTCTTATTTTATTTAAGCAACAATCTTGGAGTGCAATTGTGGTTTAAATTTTTTTTTTGTTTGTTTTGGGCCGACTCTGTGTAGGTTTCGTTGTCGATACGACAAGAAGAAGAAGAAGCAACATTCTTAACCAACGGGAAAATAATCCACTAGGGAATCGAACCCATGATTTTATTCTTATAAAAAAATGAATTAAATAAAGAAGTAGCCAACCATAATACATACCTGTCTTTACAAATTATCTAATTTGTATGCTTTGACATTCTCTACAAAATAAAACATCGCATTACAGTAGGAGATTGACTTTCACTTACTAGTTATTTGAGCGTTTGCACCAGTCAGGATCGTCAGGAAGAAAGCAAGCAATGTAACGAACACTTTCATTGTTATTTTTGTGTTAATTTTTCACAAATAAAATCAAATAAGTTAATTTTAACTATGTTAAAAACACGTCTTAATACACTATAGAAGTTTAAGTAGGTAGTTGATTGTAACAGAATTAAAATTCCGATTTAAAATTTCATTTACATCCGGCCTTAGAAAATTCAGAAATGACTTATTTTAACTGAACGTTAGAAATAACAAAGTAAAAATATTTAAAACTAAAGGTTTTATTTGACACGTTTATCTATTGGGTATAATTAATTGTTAAAATATACGATTTAAGAACAAACACATGAAACCAATTGCCTCATGAATTGTAATTATGTTAGTTAATGTTAATTAATTTGATATAAGTAAGTTCATTTACGATGATTTTAAGTACTTGTCAATGTTAATAATGGGCTCGTCATATTAACTCCTGTCATAATATATTAATAATAATCTTTTCTATAAAAAAAAATAAAAAAATAATAGTATAAATAAATATTTTTAGAAACGAAGGTAGCTTATCTTCTTAGGTTAGTTCAAATAAACATAAAAACATGCATTATAATAATTTATTAAAAATCATAATTAATAATCACAGAAGTTGACTAAAAAAATACAGAAACATGGATTAATGCAATAATACGTTACATAATAAAGAATAAAAATCAGTCGGCTCAGCCTGACTATAGTTTTTCATTAAACTTTTTATAGCAAAACCAAGCACAACTGAAAAGTACCTAGCTAAAGAAGACGGTGGTAGAACCCCAAGAATTCATATGTCCCACCAGTGCCGTACTTAGGGCAAATGCCATGGGCATTAGGAAGTCGTAAACTCATGGAGTAGTAAAAGTAGCCCAGTTAAAATGGCCCCCGAAAACCTAAATACAGCACTGGAATCAACAAGATGTACGTAAGGGTTATATTTTTGTAATAGTGGTGAATAGTTTATTTTCAAGGGTGAATCCTTTACAGCTGGTTTTCAATAAGGTCGGTGATGACATGTTCCAGCAGGTGGTTGATGTCAGCCTGAAAAAACAAACAAGAATTAAAATTTTGATATTTTACCTTAATAGTGTAATGAAGAGTCTTATTTACAATACAAATAACATATCTACACCCTTCCTAAAGGTTTGGTGCATTGATGTATTTAGATTGAAAGATAATTAAAAGATTATTGAGATGGACCTTTCATTTTATTTGTATTTTTGGAGATTGCCAAAATCTGTAGGCGCGACCTTTACAGTGATTTAATTTTATCAGTTTACTGTTTAATTATTTCCTATCTCACAAAAGATTACCTACTTCTATTCTACTTTTTTCAAATTGTTGAAAAATATGCTAAAAAGCACTTAAATTCAGTGCGATTCACAAAATGTAAATGATTCGTACACCTACGAAGAATTTAAAAACATGAGTCAGATTAAAAATCTAGATCGTACCAGTTTTGCTCACACTTTGTCATAGAGTAAATATTTAGGTATTTGGATGATTTCAACTGAAATTAAAGAACTACATGGCCTCAAACTAAACAAGGCTAGAAAAATAATAGTGTAAACTTACCCTGTTGGATGCCAAAGTGAGGGGAACGTAGTAGTTCAAGAAGTTGTTGATCTCCTCCGACAAGTCGTAGCCGAAGACCTCAACGTGCAAGTCAGACTGAAATAATTAAAGTTCAAGTAAATACAAAAACAAAATCAAAAATTATTATTCAGTTTAGACCACAAGTGACACTTGTGAACGTCAAAATATATGTAGTAAATAATAAAAAAAATAAAAGTTAGCCCTTATGAGTCACTTTACATGTCTCCTATCTTTTGGGCCCTACCAGCGCTTCGAGACAAACAGTGTGTGTTACCAGTGATAACATACGGCTCCGAAACGTGGCCTCTCTCATAGGCCTCATAAAGAAGCTCAAAGTTGCACAGCGTGCTATGGAAAGGGCTATGCTCAGTGTTTCTTTACGAGATCAAATCAGAAATGAGGAGATCCGTAAACGAACTAAGGTCACTGATATAGCCCGATGGATTAGCAAGCTGATGTAAATACAACTTTTTAAAATACTTATTCCCTTTACTGGGATAAGGGCCTTGACTTCTTACTCGCTGATAATCAACAGCTTACTAAAGTTCTTATTCAGGATTCAGGAAATACTAAATATTACTTTTAATTTCACTGGTGTCAATAGAGACAGTATAATAGGTAAAAGTAGTCGGTAATTAGCAACGTCAATTTCTTTGATATACGAGTACCTTTTCAGAATTCAGACGAAGGAAGATCTAAAACTTTATCTAAAATGTATGAAACTAGTCCTAAATATTGATCAATTAATGTTTATTTGAGGGATGGTGCTAGCCCGCTACCAATCGGTCATTATGGAGATCATTAGGGGAGGCTTTTGTTCAGTAGTGGACGACGTCCTATGACTGAATCAATGATGATGTATTTGGGGGACTGAGGACCTGATGATGGTTACAGTTACCTGTGTACAGGAATGCTCGTACTAGAAATGCTTGACATAGATTATTGTCCAGCAGCTAATTTTTTTTAAAAGGAAGGAAGAATGAAGGCAACAAATAACTCAGCAGTACCTTGATCTGGCCAACGCTGAAATCGATGTCAATACTGCGGACAGAGATTCCACTGATGATGCCGATGCTGAGGCGGACGTCAGCGACGATGCGGATCTCCTCAATGGAGGCCCTGGAAACAAAAAAAAAGGTGTTGAAGCCTCACTACCTTGGAGAACACAGTTAATCAGGCACTGGACCAAATTACCAGCTGGGGTGAGAGCGTCAAGCTGGAGTTTGGCCCAGACAAAACGCAAACTATTGCTTTCACCAACAAAGCTGTCAAATGTAGGTTAGTCATGAGGGGTCGTAGACTCACCTTTACTGACCGCATTAAATACCTGGGCATCATCATTGACAAGCGTCTTACCTTCACCAAGCATGTGGATTATATAGTTGACAAGGTAAAGGCCCTTTATGGCAAACTGTGCTTCTTCATACGACCCACTTGGGGCGTTCACTCAGACAACGTTCGGATAATCTACGAACATGTAATAGAGCCTATCATTTGTTACGGGGCAGGAATCTGGTCTCCAGCCATCAAACACAAATATATCATCCAGCGTCTCCTCTCTGTTCAAAGGCTGTTCGCCATTAAAATCATTCGAGGATTCAGAACGATTAGCACCGCTGCTGCAATATCTCTTGCACAGCTCACTCCGCTCCCAGCAAAAGTTGCCATGGTTGCTGACGTGGAAACCTCAAAACTCTCCGGCGTAACATCTTTTTTGCCCCATGAAATCTCTCTCGAGAATCCATGTCCTCCGTCTAAATTACTCCACCCGTCTGACAGAATTGGCATACGATTCGAGGAAATCACCTCCACACCCGAGCTCACTCAGGCGGGCGCCAATCACACCTGGCTTATATTCACGGACGGAAGTAAAATTGACGATCGAGTTGGAGCTGCCTTTGTCGTTAAGGACTCCGCCAACACTCAGCCATCAGTCATCAAGAAGTTCAAGCTTCATGACGACTGTTCGGTATTTCAGGCGGAAATGCTTGCCGTGCAAATGGCTTGCAAACACATCATTGACCACCACCTCACGGATGTACTCATACTCTCTGACAGCAAGTCTGGCCTTACAGAGCTGCGAAACGGCAGCAGCTACAACCGCTTCGCCGTCAACATCCATAAACTCTTACACCAAGCCCGATCATCTGGCTATACCATCGAATTCGCGTGGATTAAGGCCCACGCTGGATTCGATGGCAACGAAGAAGCAGACTTGGCAGCAAAGGCTGCTGCAAGAATGCGCAGAATACCAGACTTCCAAAGAGTACCCATCAGCCTCGTTAAACATCAAAATAGGCAAAAATGCAAAGAATCGGCCAAAACTTTGTATATGGACCCGAACACCTGCGTCCATACAAGATCTCTCCTGCCAACATACAACACCTTGCAGGAGTTCATAAAGATCGTTCGGCCGGACTTTGCCACCACCCAGGTCTTAACCAACCACGGTTATCATAAGGAATACCTACATCGTTTCCATATCGTCGCAGATGACCGCTGTCCCTGCGATGACCAGACTCCACAGACTTGGAAACACCTTTTAACACAGTGCCCTAGATTTGCTTCAGCCCGATATAATCATGAAATGATATCCCGTTTGTTAAACATCGATCCATACAATCTCTCAGAAATAATCAGAAAAGAAGATACAGCAAAAAGTTTTAAAGCCTACATTACCAATATAGTCGATCATTTAAAAGAATTCAACCAAACATAAGCAGCCAACACATTACAACAATAAAAATCACAAACTACCTAAATCACCGCACTGCAATTGGAGTACTCCACTAGCTCCAATTGCAGGTGCATATCAATAGCACTCATTAAAAAAAAAAAAAAAAAAAAAAAAATGTCATCATCATCAGTTCATTTAGTCTCCGCTACAGGACCACGACCCTGTCTAACTCCCAAGAAAATGGAGGACGTAGTTAGCAATAATTAAAAGTCTAAACTGATCTCATTTTAATATTAAATTATTGGTTACTTTGAAATCAATTTAGCCATTTTATTTTAAATTTTGTATTAAGTACCCACTTTACAAAATCTCAGCTCATAAAAAATACTATAAACTTGATTGTTAATATCATCATAACTTAAATTATCAACAAAGTGGGTACTCTAAGGAGTCTGTCATGGTTTCCAATCTCGTTCTATAATTTTATACGTTCCATCATGAATATTTTAACACAAATTAAGATATTTTCTTTGTTTATTTAAGCAGTTTTGGTAATTTACCTTCCGCCACCACGACCTGTGAGGATTTCATCGAAGATCTTTACACGAGCTTGCGCTGAACCTGGAAGAAAAGGAATTCTTCAGTATTTAAAATTCACAGTAGGGACATGGGACTATTTCCATCTCTCGTTCCCACCGCTGCAACTCCTGTGTAGCCAGGATCTACAGCAGGTGTTCGAGACTCAAGTGCATCTTCTTTTGTAAGGGATTCGAACCCAGAGGGTGCCATGTGGGACCCTATAATGTTTTTACTGCCTTTGTTTCATCGAGCTGTACTATAAACCGTAAGATTACAAACTGTCTCTCAGCCAATGGTATGAACATGTATGGAAGTGCGCACATTACACCGATTTGATATTGATAAGAAGAGAGCGAGTCAGACACGCATACTCAGGTCTAGTCTACACCAAAGTGAAGAAGAAAGAAGATGTGGCTGAATAACCAATCAGATTTCGTTATTCCCACATCACTTCTCTGCTCAGCTTCGGCTCGGAACTTTTCTCCACTTTGGTGGAAACCAGGCCTAAGTGGTGCTTGGTTTTACTTGGTACTTGGTTATGCTTTGGTTTAACCACAGATCACATAAACTAAAGGGAGATGTGATAAGGGGGCGGGGCCGGTGTCGCAGCAATATGCCCAAAAACAGAACAAATTGCTCGTGATAGCAATGATGACAGCAGCGACGTCATAATGTAAACAGTTTACATTGCTTGCGTAATGCTAAAGATTATTCGATCGTTGAATGCTGATACCGCAACACATTTTGATTTCTTTGTATGTGTGAATTTCTGATGCAATACTGAGTTTCGAAGTCAACGCATTAGTTGGCATCTCTCTATATCTCTATGGGTTTAACTTACCAACAGCACCAGTGACGAGGGGCAGGGAAATGTCCAACTGGAGCCTGGAGGTCAGGATGCCGTACGAGATGCGGTTGATGCGGATGTAGCTGAGACCGGTGCTCAAGACGTGCTCAGCAATAGCATCGACCTCCAAGAGGCTGTAAGAAAGTTTAAATATTAACTTGTGCGTGTAAATTAATTTGAGTTGCGAGCGTTGCGAGAGCTACGTTAAGCTAAAGCCCGGTCTGTGAGCACGTAGAATTTTGTCCAATGACCCCAAGCTACCCATCTGCTATATTGCTGTACAAATAAAGGAGTTTTGACTATGACTTTGATTACTCACTCAGTAACGGGAAGCCTGTAAGAGAATTCTTCCTTGTCCAAAATGTAGGGGTCGAGACCCATCTCCTTGATGTCATTGCTCAGGTCCTCGATCAGACCAGCGATGATGCCATCCACAAACCTCTCTAAAAATAAGAACAATTATTGTTATTATTAAACTTTTCTGCTTCCAAGAAGGTCTTATCACCTTCTAGAGCAGTGGTTCTTAACCTTTAAGTCACGAGGAACCATTTTACCAAATTTCTGTCTTGTCAGGGACCACTTTTTTTTTAAAATCCTATGAAAGGAGGTCGTTTTCTCCCACTGTGCGCCTTTTGCGTTGTGTTGACTCGTCACGTCACGTCACTTGTTTATTACGCTGTCTTCGCGGACCACTTGGAATGCAGGGACCACCAGTGGTCCGCGGACCAGCACCGGTTAAGAACCACTGTTCTAGAGAAATTTCTTTCATTTGCCCATTTGCCGGTTCGTGTGGTGTGCATTAATGACTATCCTAACTTTCTCTTCACTCTTTCTGGGGGGTTCATTCTATAATCATTATAATTAATTTGCAATTAGGTAGGTACTTTAAATCCAGAATACCAGTTCAGTAGTAAAAAAAAGGGACAGTCAAAATATAAATACAATAATAGACATCATCATCATCATCAGCCCATTCAGTCTCTACTGCAGAGGAACTACCCTTTCTAATTTACCAGATGCAAAAGGAAACATTTGATCTTAAGGTGTAATGTTCACATAATTATGTATATCTCCCTTTAATGCCTCTTACGACATCCATGGGAAGAGTGTTGGTGGTCCTATTCTCTGCCAGAAACAGACTGTTTTTTGAATTTGATATACAGGGTGTTGATTTTAATCCTCGCCATATTTAAGGAGTTGATTAATTAGCTTATTCTGATCACGAATCAATACAAAAGATTGACATCGAATAAAAAATTAAAACGAACTTTAACTTTAGTCAAAGAAAAATACCTTTACACCACGTACTTTACGTGGCTTCCTTCAGTAGGCTATCCGACATGATAAGCGAGCGATCCGCGTAGCTCGAAGGGTGCCGCAGTATAGAATGATTTCAGTATTGCGAGCCACAGTATAGTTGATGTCGCACGGAAAATATTCGCTAAAAATTATACTTTCGTTTGTTTTTTTTTTTGTGGATAATGCGTTTATAACTCATAAATAAATCAATATGGCGAGGAATTAAATCAACACCCTGTATAACATTATTTCCAATATCTTACCGTTTCCACTTAGCTCTTGGGTCTCGGGCGCGGCGGCAACACCGGCCAAGAGTACGGCAAAGGCGAATGCGAAGATTTTCATGGTGGTTTATTTATGAAGCTGAAAATGAATTACTTGATTAATAAGTGGATCAAGTTAGTGAAAGTCGCGGGAAGTATTGAATTGCCCGGTTATTATTTGAAGTATTGAGTTGTCTAGTTGTACCCATTGACGCTTCTAACCGTCAGAAAACGAAGCACATCGCCAGGAGAGCTACCATCGGAGATTAAATTACCCCATCATGTAACCTCGTCAGCGCAATCACGACCACTCTGACAAGACAAGCTTTGCTTAGTTTGGGACTAGAGGCGCAGTGTAAAAATGTCCAAGGATATCAATTTATTTATTTATTTGTATCGGGACCGGTCGTTGTGGAAACCCTTGGGGCCTTTGTCAAGCAGTGAACATCCTGGTTGAGACATCCACTAGACTAGACTTGACTATTACTTTAATTGGTTATTAATTTATAAGGAGGTTAATTATTAGAGGCGTCACTCAGCACAGTAGCTCTCACTCGTTTTTCATTATTTATGTGCCCTTTTATCGAAGCACTGTGCAATGATAATGGATTTCATCGAAGCAGTACAATGAAATGAAAATGGTATAATGAAGTTTACCCAAAAGTCGGAAAACAATAACAAATAAGTATTGTGTCCGTAATAGGATAGGTATCTATCATATAAAAGAATATTATTCTGAATTATTTTTGACTTGGTGAACACTTACACCCGTATTCACAAATGATGCTTGCTTAAGTGAAGCAGCAAATCGAACGCACAGCGTTGAATAGAGCTCTGTTATTGGTTCGTGTGTGACCCTATGCGTCCACGTGCATTGTGAGACCTCATAGTAATGTTTGTGAATACGGGCGTAAGTCTAGAAAATGCAATTGACTTGGCCAGAAATCGAACCAACACTATTGTAGAAGGCAGTTTAACTGTGCCATCGAATATCTATTTGACATGTTGTATGGTTTCGTTCATATTTAATTCAAAAATACCTTTGAAATTAATAATTTAAGAAAATTAAGGTTTTTTTATGCATAACAAAGAAGATATTTGACCATTATAGGTCTTATAGGTTATAGTCAAATAGGGGTCAAGTTATAGGGAGTATGTCAAGACGTTACGCAACGCATCGTAGGTACTTCACAAAACTTTCACTCATAAAAAGTAAATAATAATATACACTTTTCCTACTCTCAGATAAAACACTTAAAAAAGGTCACAGATCAATCCCGGATCACATTTTACTTATACTAATGGATGTTTAAATTAACTATTTTATTGCTTAAATTGTATATCTCACCTGGATTACAATAATGATTGTTTTGATCAATAAAATCGACTTCGGCTTATATACTAACTTTAATTAAGAGATAAGTATAATTAATTATAATCCGATATGGCTTGTCAGTTTATCTGCGCTGATTTTTACAAAACTGATAAGTACTTAAACGAATAATTGCCTACAGTTTTGGATATTAACAGAAGGTACGTAACTACGGCATAATATGTAGTTTGGAATATATACCTACTTATATACTTACGGAAAGCGCAGCGTAGGACGTCCACCCATACGTAGACCGACGACCTCATAAAAGTAGCGGGAAGACGCCGCTGGATGCAGGCCACTACCAACCGACCATTGTGGAAATCATCAATAATTTTAAAAAAATAAAAAAATCTCAAAATATTTTGACCTCTTTTTGTCGACAAAAATAGGTCTAGTTTCATATGTACACTTTAACGTGACTCACACTGTATATATTTAGATAATAAAATCTGATTTTTTATATTAAATATTTGGGCAATAATTAGAAGTATTTTCCCCAACAGCGAGACAGTTTTGACAGTTCCAACTCCTTGCCAGATAGTTTTTTTAGGGTAGCTCCCAAAGCCACCAGGGAGCATACGCTGACAAACTTTCAGCTTTTATAAAATGACGTAGGTCTGGCGATCACTAGCTCTTAGTCTATAATGTCTAATGTTTGAAGAATGTAGCTGTAAAGACATGAAGTTTTTCAATATGAAGGTCATTATACGCTGTAGAGCCCGTGTGAGCTTTTATGAAAGGAAAATTTGATAATTATCAAATTTCAAGGCGAAACTTAATTAAGTTTCGCCTTGCATCATTAATTTATTACGTAACCATGCCCTGCCAAAGACGTTGTATGCCTACTATTCATACTGTTATGGTTTAAATTTCTTATAACCTCAGGGTATTTTGTATAGGACACACAAACAGTCTAAAAATGAATTAAGAGACATGTATCTTTGAGTGAATCATGCTTCTTCAAAATACAACTTAAATAACAAAGATAAAATTGCGTTGCATCTTCCAAAATTTAATTATCTTATCAATTGTTTCATCTGATTATCAACAAATATTGCAACTGCGGCGACTTAAAAGCACATAATTTACGTCGTATATAATAATAATATTTATATACGTATAATAAATTTGTATACCAAATGTTTTGTGTGGTATCTTTAAAAAGTACTTTTGGTGTCCTAATAGGACACCAAAAGTACTTGATAGATATCACGATAACTATCATGAAGATTTCTTGTCACAGCGTGACCTTATTTATTGTTTTAACATATTTTATAAAAATAAGGCGATTTGAACACAAAATAAAAGACATGTCTATATATACAAGCATTTATTTTTATAATGAAACACAAATGTTGCAAACATTCAATAATGCAATCATAGCACTAATAATATATTAAACTTACTTGAAATTTTACTATTAGAATTTAAAAAGATAACTCGACTAAAATAATAACGACAATGCTTGTAGGCCTGACGTGCTATTTTCGCTATTTAGGCCAATTTGTGACACATTGAAGTATTATTATACATTATAGGCAAGCAGACTCGAAGGCAAAGTATCAGTGTGTATAAAACAATTGAATATTTACTATTCCTAATTACCAAACAACAGGTTGTTGATCAATAAAATTGTTCAATTTGCTTATAAAAGATCGATTCGTTTTTTTTTTGTAGATAATAAAAGTTTGAATGTAAACTTACATAATTAGGAATAGAAAATATACAAAATCGTCAGTGTTAAGGGAAAAGCTATTTTACGTAAGATAACTTTAGAGTTTTAATTTATTTCAATTTTCTGAATTACTCTTATTGTCTGGCGTAGCGTTTGCTGTGAAGGAATACATTTGAATTTGAATTTAAATTTTAATATCTATTTGAAATTCCAGTGTTCAAAAGGAAGAGTGGGTAAAATTGCTGAGCATAGTCAATTGAAATTATTCAATTTTATTTATTTGAAAATTTATACGCACCCCTAGTATTACTAGAGGGTGCTAGGTTAGTGGTTGTACAATAGCGCTATATGAGCTAGAGACCCCGTTATTGGATTAAAAATTTAAAAAACTTATTTAAGATACCTACTGTGTTAAACTTTTTCAAATTAACAAAAGAAAACAAAATGTCACTAAAATTGCTTAATTTATTTTAGACAATTTTATTGGCAATTTATCTTACTAATTGAATTACTTCAATTGACTATGATGTTTTATTTAAAAATTAAAACAAAGTCAATTCCAACTCTACAACAAATTCAAAATCGATCCTTTAAGTGAATAAAAGCATCACTATGACAATATAACTTGTATAATTTTTTGAACAAATTAACATAACAATGTATAAATAACCTATATTTACTTCTTTACTTGTAGGTATGTATAATTATAATTAAACAAATTATTTCGTTATAAAACTAGTTAATATTGGAAGTTATTATGGGACATTTGGAATGAACAAAATATAATTTCAATTTTCTAGTATTTAATTCCATTTCTTAGTTTGGCACTACCCGTCGTTCGTTGGCCTTTCAATATCACATAATATAATAAAAGAAATAGTGCACATACATTATTGAGAAGTAACGCATCACTACTCTACTAGTATCACCTATAATATAGTGTTTTATCAATATATATAAAAGTGAACAAGAGGCACTCTATAGGTTTACATACGCAGGTTCAAGTAAGCGTAGTCGGTGATCAAACGTGAACTAGAACATGTGAGAATGATACTATATTACACTAACGTCAGCGAATAAAGTTACATCGTTTATACAAATACGCGAATTTGTGTATAAATGTAGTCAGAGACCGAGCGAGAGTATCCTTTGACCATGAAAAGTACTTCAATGTCATTTTTCTCCTTAGTCCTTTTCAGTTCTCATTCATTTGTACTTTAAATACGAATTGTATAACTGTGAACAATTCTGAATATAAGTTTATATAAATGATGTCTGCTCGGTCTCTGACTACCGTATACATGCCTAGTTACAAAATGAATGTACCCAAAGCACGAAGGTTCTACCAAGTTACATTAGCGCTTATTTATACTTAATATGGTATCGTCCTTCACAACAGGTTATAGTCAGTATGTCATGCCTGAACCCAACACTTGAACATAGGGCAATGACGAGTTCCTACAAATACTAACACTCATACATTATTTACAACAACGAAATTTCATTACCTATATTGTGGCTTCCGCAAGAATATTCTCGAAATTACCGTATTTTACTAGTATTTTTACCTTATACCTCGAATTGTAAAGATTCTTCTATTAAATCGTTTATACCAATATTCGAAAGCTGAACTGCTGGACTACAATCTCTAAGCTAGATGTATCGACCCTAACTTTTAGGTACTAATTTTGTATGTTCTAACACAGTATACTAAGAACTGTACATCCCACACGCTGTACATACACTGCAAAATGTAATGTACATCTTGCTGAGTCAAATCGGATTTTCTATTGAATTTCGAGGCACATTTTTTCCGAATGTATTAATTTTGTTCCATTTAACATCCACCGTTTGCTACACACGAACCGTATTACACGTACAACTTTCTAATATTGGTCCGCTACTGAGTTGTGAAATGATCTAGCTTATAATCTTACTTAAACCCTAAGGCTAGAACTTAAACTTCACTATGCCCTGCGTGATATGTATAGCATTAGAGGCATCGAAGCTAACACGTTACTCTGCTACGCCATTCTGACATCCTGCAATCCATATTTCTAGAAGAATCTCACTCCTGGGACCTAATCAGTGAACAAAAACTATTCAGTTATTTTCATTTAAGTGAATTTTCCCACCCATAGCAATCCATTGTAACATTATTGTTTCAAATGCTTGCAAACGTGTCAAAGTCGCTTCAGTCGACGTTCCATTCAAATTGCAATTTGTATTAGACAAAAATGATTGCCCTGAAGTTTACATTCACTGACATGGTCAATAACCAACTCAAATCGTCACTCAATCCCGACATACGTGACCTACAACAAGAGATATGTAGAGACTTACATACTATGACCAAATTACATCTACATAATTCTATAATTTGTTATTAACAAGTGATATGTTGGTGGAGGCATCACTCCTTTTAAAATATATTATAACATTAATTCATAAACAATAGTTTTACTTCCCTAACGATTTAATTAGAACTTAACAGCGAGTTACTAGACGAATACTTAATGGACTTAAGACCGATGTTTCAGTGTCGACGCAATCAGAATGTCGTCAAGGTATCGACACTGATACGTCTGATCCCGAAGCGCAATATAACACTTGAGGTGGCTTACAATTAAAATATACTTTCTATAATTTTACATATAAAAATAAGTTGATAATAAAATATCCCAGAACTTCATAAGACGGCAACATATACACACATATACTATTATAATACAAAGACGTTTTGTTGAATTGCCGTTACAATGAGCGTAGAATGTATTGGAAACTACGCGGAGTAGTGTACAATACAAAATGTCGCGGATAAATACTTAAATTAGCCAATACCACCAACATTCTTTCGGTCCCATATCCAGTTTGGATTGCATTCGATCTCATGGTTATTCCAACATTACATAAGGGTGGGTTCAGATGACCAGAGATTTAGTACGTGATTGCTGAACTTGAACTAACATTGTGACAACGCACCATAATCATTACACTAGAAAGGCGTGCCATCTGCACACACCCTTACAATAAATTGATCAATCATTAAATGCAAGAACTGCCTAATTCAACCATCTAACAGCGACAACACATCAAATGCGTGGCAACTTCATACTCGCAGTCATACGAACAAGCGAATGCGGAACTTATTGACATCAAAACGGCAAGGCTACTGAGAGTTGGCTCAAATGATGAATTTGAACAAAGTTGCTTGCACTCCGAAGGCGAGCAGGCCGAAGCTAACTGCTTCGTGTGAGGGCTGCAGCGAAAAACCGCTGCTTGTGCAGTTCTTCGGAGGATCTGGCTTACCTGGAATAAAGAAGCAAGTAATTTAGACGAGTAATTTCATTATCAGCCTAAAGATGTCCACTGCTGAACAAAATACCTTTCCCAACTTTTTACGATAATCGCGTCATGCGCTGCTTGCATCCAGGCGCTTCCCTCGACCTTCACAAGGTTATCAGTGAGTGGAAAGTGTGCCCTTACTACGTGTTCCTTCATGCGTTGTCTCTACTTAAAGATTTATTTGAGCCTCAACGGCTAAGTATTAACCCAGCCAGCCAATAAGGAGTAGCGGACTAAGACATTCAGGCCATAGCTAACAAAACTAGAGAATTACATTTTCATTCTTTTTGAGAGCAAATCAAGTTTTTTTACTTATATGCTATTTCAGCAAATGTTTCGACGAGTTTTTTTTTTCTTTATTTTATATGAGCTTAGATCGATACAGTCGAACATATCAGCTCCATCATAACAAAAAACTTACTATATAAATCAACTTAAGACTAGAAATAGCAAAGTTTATCACTACTCTGGCTGCCTCTGATGACGGCTCTGCTAGGAAGTTAGACAATAAACCAACATCGTGTTTGTTAACATTGAGAATACTATATACAGTGTCTCTAAGGTGCCGATCCCAGTCACACTCCATCAACAAGTGAAACACATCATCTATTACACCGCACAGTTCGGGGAGTCTGTAACTTTCATCAGATATTTAAATTTATTAAGTGGAATGTGGCCAGATCGAAGCATTCGAAGCCTATGAGCAGTTATTGTATGTAATCTATCAAAACAAGTATTGGCAAACCAGGGCACCCGAGGAGGTTCTGACTGTAGCGTTTTGTAGGTACCATATCCCTTTATTCGACGAGTTACAGTTGTTGAGTTGTAGTTGTTGAGATACAGGCCAAGAGCTTCCTCGTTGTGGATAAAAAAAAAGTGTGTTCTCTCTTGCATTGCACACGTGTACACGTGCCAACAACTTTTTTTTTATCTATTATCAGTCTATCCTATATCTTAATTTCCTGTCGTTTTTCTATTATGCAAGCCTGGTAAATGCCTAATTATTATAATTACTTACTTTAATCATGCTATTATGATAATTTCCTGACAAGGCTTAAACGTGTGTGCGACCACGAAGCAATTCAATTAAGAATAAGTCAGCTTTTGCTTATAGACGAGACAATATTAACAATGACCAGTCTATGTCTGCTGGAGGATACAACTGCACCTCCATAGCACGTCACCTAGTATGATGATTATTGGCCAAATCATTTAGATTTTCAAAGGGGTATAATGCAACGCAATCCATTGTGGCGTTAATTAGTTTGTTTCAGCCAAATTAATGACGTCCACTGCTAGACTAGACAAACGCCTAAGGATTTCCATAACAGAGCATTCCTGCGTTGCAGTTCTAGTAGTTCCAGATACTTCCCGCGACCTTCACCAGATCGTCGGTCCATCTAGTTGAGGGCCTGCCACTTATATATACTCGATGTTTAAAATTAGGGCAGTCAGGAACACTTAATCAGTCATTTTCGCCCCCTTGCATCGCTATGCTAATCTCTTGCTTACCCAAGTAACCTTGAATTTTCGTAAATACCCTCGCCATATAAATTACCTACGTCATATCGTTATCAAGAAACTAGTAACTAATGTTTATCTGCACCTGTTAAGATCATTATCGATATATTTTTATCGAAAAAATACCGATTGATCGTTTTCGACACCTGTTTTGTAAGATAAGCCTGCGGATTACGAGTATACCAAATAGTACTATACTATACTCGTATTTTGATGCATTTAATACAGTTTTTTGTTTGACCGCAGAATAAATTGGCTTGACGTCATTTTAGATAAAAGAATAGAACGCATTAGTAGTAGAGCGTATTAGTTAGAGAATTTAATACATATACGAATATGTTTTAAATTCTCGAACTAAGATAGCAATAGCAATTAAGTACTCGTGTACTTCAAAACTAAACGTATCATACTAAGTAAAGTATGTTAAGTAGTTAATAACATAATTAGGTATAACAACAACTTAGTCCCCCTGCGATTTAGCTAGGAATCCTGACCTTTAATAAGACCACCACATACATTAATTCGGTATGTGCCTAATTTGAGAGTCGAGTCACTAAAACAGTGTTATTTTTGAAAATTGATGACTCAATGCCTCCTACTAGGTGGACCGACGATCTGGTAAAGGTCGCGGGAAGAGCCTGGATGCGGGAAGCGCAGGACCGTTCATTGTGGAAAACCTTGGGGGAGGCCTTTGTCCAGCAGTGGACGTCATTTGGCTGAAACGAACGAACGATGACTCAATAGAGCAATTTTATTATAATATCTAGCTCGCACTGAGCGTTTCGCTAACTTTATCATGTGAACAGCTAGAGTCTGGAATTCGCTGCCTGCTACGGACTTTCCCGAACACTGTAATTTGAGTCGAGCAGAGTTAATAGGCACTTACAGGACAGGTATGTACCAAAACTGCATCGTTCTTAACATGAAATGAAGCAGTCACTTGTAGTTACTATACAGGGTGGAATTTTGTAATGCCACCTGGAGGGAAAGTAGGTACTCTTAATATTGTAGATAGAAATTTTTTCTCAAAGAAAACATTCGTTTATTTTTAAAAAGAAATAGAACTGCATTCAAAGATTTCCAAAAATTTGCTTGCCACACCCGGCAATCGAACCAACTAAAATCTGTTAAAAATTACACCCTGTATTTTATTGCATCGATCGTTAGGGTCAAGTATAAGGATGAAATCTCTCTAACATACTTAATAAATCAAATGAACGGAAATCCATAAAATCTTAAATTATTTTAATTATGTACAGAAAATTGTATGGAATAGTAGTGAATTTTCGAAAAAGTTTTTCGAAAATTCACTACTATTCCATACAATTTTCGAAAAATTTTCGGAAATCTATGAATGCAGTTCTCTTTCTTATAAAAAATAAAGGAATTTTTTCTTTCAGTATATTTTTCTATCTGCAGTATTACGAGTAGGTAGGCACTTTCCCTCCAGGTGTATACTTACTTGTAGCAGCCATCAGCTGAGGCAGGTACTTCTGCCAGAAGGCGCACTGCTTGACCCTCAGCCCGTGGCCAACTGCGCTGGAGTTGACTGCTAGCGACAGGTACTCCCGCCCGAAGGCCGTGTGTACAGGCCAGTGGACCTTTGTCATCTCGCCATTGGGGTTCATGGATGGGTTCCTTGAATCGCAAACAACAAAGTTTGATTTAGACATAACTACGACGTAGGATTAATGTGGATCAGATCGGATGATCAGACAAAACTGAATTCTTTTAATAAAATTTTAGTTAATATTAGTCTCATTAGTACACTGATTGAAGAAAAGAAGAACGAAACTATGAATAAAAATGAAATAATGAATACACACCCCGATCTAGCAAAGTTAGCCCAATATCTCATTAGACGTTTGCTAAACTCCACTTCTTCTGGAGAATAATTCTTCCCAGGATTCAGAGGCTCCCCGAACACGTAGTTGATTTCGTCAGCGTGCATCACCCCCGTCCAGGAAGGCCAGGGGTTATTCTTGCTGCGATGCTTGTAGTAATAAGTATAGACGTTGTTCCCAGTCTCAGCGTATCGATGGGCAAACTCATTCACTCCACACGTGAAGTGGTAATCGCCCACCATCTTATCCAACGCGTTCCGGTTCCTCACAGGATCATCAGGGTTCAACCAGTCTGTGTACTCGAACACTATCGCCTGCCTCCCAACGTCAGACACATACGGATTCAACTCTCGTACCGCCTGAAGATACTGCTCTCTGGTGATTCCAACATTCTCCTCTTTAGGAAACAGCTCCGTGAGATAATATAGTATAAAGTAGTACCCTTCTTCAGTGTTAGAACCCATCAGAATATTCGTTTTCTTAAAGTTCTGGTGAACCAGAGATCGAACTGGCATCTCGTCTAAGAACGAACCATCTATAATGGGAACGAATGGGAATTCGCAAATGCCTAAGGTACCCCACTCGTTGTTGACTAATTCGTCAGCACTCTTCTTCCTGAGACACTCGATCATAGGACCAACATCAGTAGTAGAATGTGGGCAGTGAACTGCTTCAGCTAAACGGACTCCTCGCAAAATACTTTCCTCTCTAGATATTATAGCCCACGGTGCTGTTGCCGTTCCAGATTGCATAATAGCTTGTGAAAATAGGTTTCTTGAGAGCGGAGACAGCAAATGCAAAGATACAGAAACAGCACCAGCTGATTCCCCAAACAATGTTATGTTCTGAGGATTTCCGCCGAAGTATTCAATGTTATCTTTAACCCACTGTAATGCCATCAGTTGGTCGAACATACCAGCATTACCTGGTACATCAGGGGTGTCAAAGAAAAGGAATCCAAGTGATGCAACACGATATTGCATTGAAACGTAAATTATCTTCTCTTCCGAAACTAAGATTTTCGGATCGTAAACATCTAGAGTGGCAGTCCCCGAGTAAAAACCACCACCGAATACCCATAGCATGACCGCTGCGTTCTTAGGCCTGGGTCTAGGTGCCACTATATTTATATACAAACAGTCTTCCTGCATATCTGTGTTGGGGTTCCACATCATCGCACCAGGGAAGTCCCCGAACACCGTATCTACAATTTGGACGCATGAGTGTGGCAGTGTCGTCGTGTTGAGTATTTCGTCGCCCCAGCTCTCGACCGGTCTGGGGTGCCTGAACCTGAGATCTCCAATAGGTTTCTGAGCATAAGGGATGCCAAACCAGGCGTCGACTTTTTTCCCAGTGGCAGCAGTGAGGGTAATGCCCCTAACTCTACCTTTCCTCGTGCGTATGACGAGCGGGTCTTCATCTTCGGGCCGTAGCTGCGGCTCGTCTCCCATGAAGCCCTCGTCAGCCCGTTCGTGGTTAGAATAGAATCTTTCGTCATATTTGGCTCTCTTAGAGGAGGTTTCTGTTTCGAATTTGGCTCGTTTGGATGAGGTTTCGTGGTCCTCGATGCGGGGTAGGATGGTGTCGAGCTCGGGGTTGTACCGGACGGCCTCGCCGTGTCCGCGGTAGGGCTGCGCGGGCGCGGGGGCGGGCCCCGGCGCGGGGAAGCGGAGGGGGTGGTCGGGCGCGTGGTGCCGCGCGCGGTGTTCGTGCGGCCCGGCGAATGCGCGCGCCGCGAGCGCCGTCAGCGCGGCTAACACCACGCGCATACCGCCGCTGCACCTTTCCCACAGTCACCACCTGGAACGTTAGAGAGAAAATGTTTAATCCGAAACTCTTATTATAATTACAGAAACTATAGAAAGAAAGAAAGAAAGATACATTTATTACAATGGACATCACACAAATACAGGCAATTACATAGACATGACAGTGGCACATAATAATGGAAGAAGAAAAAATAAAAACAAGAGTAAACTGAGCAGTGCCACCCATTCACCAACAAGATGCCCACTGCAACGGGACCCCACTCAGCATATGCCGTGGCCCACGGTGACGAAGGCCACGGCGCTGGTTTTCAGTGTGCCCCATGCCAAGTGAGGGTCACGGACCATTGGTAAAATAAATAAAATAGTAAGCTGCATAAAATTGTCTAGATAAAAATACATAAATAGTAGGTAATATTATGATGTGTCACATAATGCCACAGGCCTTACTCTTAACAGTTATGATAGTTGTATCTAGTATTTTTATAATTAAAAGACATCGATCATAATAATAATATAATAATATTATTGTTTCTGATAGGTCGTCGTCGTCGTCGTTTCAGCCAAATGACGTCCACTGCTGATAGGTGCTTGTTAAGAATTCATTCAGAAAATAATTAAGTGCTAATTTTTCTACAAAGTTTTGATGGTAATGATGCTTTCTTGGTAATGACAGTAAGCAAGCAGTGAAAAACTCAACCAATGATTAATTCTATCAAAATTTAAAATTCCAAATGGAATTCCTCAAAAGAAAAATAAAAACAACAAAAAAATATATCCAACAGTGGCCCTGTAAAAGCATCAAATCTTTAGAGGTGTCCGCAGCCGATGACAAATTAGTCGTCAACGCAACTCAATGGATTGTCCCAGAACAAGGCAATTCATCAAAGCACACAATGGAAGGGACTCAACGATAATGTATTAGAAGGGAAAAATTACGTCTTTCCATATTTTGAGTGCCTGAATGATGAAAAAACTATGTAAAAACAAAACAGCGTCATAATTTACAGTTTTAATAAAATTTTATTATTGTATTAAACATGCTGGAAAACGCAGCGTGGGACGTCCACTCACAAGGTGGACCAACGACCTCATAAGGGCAGCAGAAAGGCACTGAATACAGGCCAATACTAACCGGGCGATGTGGAATTGGGGGATGAAATGATGATGACGATGATTCTATTAGGCTGAGTTGCATCTCTTAACTTTGACCGTAACAATAACAGTAACCGGTGTTTTTTGTATGCAGTTTGTCAGATTTTTGACGTTTGTCGAAGTTAAAGTAAGATGGTGCAACCCAGCCTTAGAAATACATGCTACAAGATTTGTCATAGTATGAAATTAAATGGTACCACTTTAAAAATTTCCATTCAATTTCATATAGATAAGTAACAAAACTGAAAACTATCTCAATACCTTTTTATTTTATCTCTTCATCGCAAATACAATAAACATACATTATCTTGGATCACAATCTATTGCCGATGTATTAGATATAATTTGATTTGTTATAAAATAATTAAAGCTTTTTTGTTTTGAAACAAACGTCATGGAAGTCTTTATACCTACTCTGTTATTGTGAGTTTTTGTTGTCGTATTAAATTAACAAAGAGGTTTAGGTAAATAAACAAGTAATTATTTGTAGTCTGTGCCAATGTAAATTAAAAACAAAAGCCGACCAAAATGGATACCGAATTGTCTTCGTCTCCTGGAGATATGCATCTTTGATTGAAAAGTTATCTCTTTCGCTACACTCTTGACAAAGTGGTCGTAGTTTTCATTATGATGTGATTTGTTTTGGATGAATATTGCTCGCTTGTGGAAGGATTATCCTTGGGGAAGGCCTGTCCAGCAGTGGACGTCATTTGACTGAAACAAACGAACGACCCATTCGTTTGACCATAGCCGTTTTGATCTGGTCTGACCATCCTGGAAACGGACGACTAACATGCGGCTCCAAACGTCTATTGAAACAGCAGCGTACTTTACGTGACATTAAAAGGGTTTTCAAAATGGGGGAACATATGGTGCTCATTAGTCATTCCAATAATCTTTAGTATTTACGAGTGTCTGAGTGATTTTAGCATTGATACTGTGAAGACCTTATCTCCAGTTCTAGTAAATTCGTTATCACGAAGGCATTTCCGACACAGGTGTCTTTACAGGTTGCTAACTACGTAATCTGTCTGGAAACCTAAAAAATGCAATTAAAATCTTCAATTTTAATAAATCCTTGAAAAAATATACTTATTTAATTATTTTTGGATACTTATTAGTGAACATTTATCAACATTTCAAACAGGGTACATGTCTGTTAAGGGATATAATGAAACTTAGGTATCTAATTGTCTAATGCCCGTTTTCACCATCAATCCCTAATTTTGAAGACAAAATTCATATAAGATGTTACCATAGGGGTTGATGGTGAAAACGGGCATAAGTCGTAAGTCCGCAATCGCTTCCAAATTATGTGTTATTCATAAAAGTTTATAAATTCCAAAAGCTTTCGTCATCTTCCTAGAAACAACTCAGAAGTAAACCCACCGAGCTATTTGTATGGACGCTATTTCAGTGGCAGACGAGTTTATTAATAGCTCCAATTAAATCGATGGGCTATTTTAAGTCGTGCCCAGCTGGGATAATAATTATAAGAGAACGGACACTATCCACAAATAAAGCTTAGAGCTATATCGTTTCAAGTCAACCAAATACTGTCCACAGCTGGACAAAGACCTCGGATTTCCACGACTGGTTCTGCGACTGTTTCTGTCCGCATCCACTGCCTCACGCGACACTTCAAACTCCTCCTATGTTCTTCTGATTAATTAATTTCGTTGCGGGTCCAATGACAGTTTAACTTTCCCCCGGGACAAACTTGACCTTCACTGGTTGGGTTTTTATTGGCGGTCAAGCTGTAGATCCTGGCTACACAGGAGTTAAAGTGGTGGGAAAGAGAGGTGGGAATAGTCCCGTTGCCTCACACAACCTTCACCAGATTATCGGTCCTCTGAGAAAGTAAAACTAAAAAATAATATTATCGGTTACATTTCTCTTTAAAAGCAAAAATCATGTAGTTATTTGACTTACTGAGAACAATCAACTACTGAAAAACAGAACCTATAATGACCTCCTACGGGTACTTAATACAAACTCTATGAAGAAAATTAGTCTCTAAGAGATATTAAGGCTGGGTTGCACCATCTTACTTTTACCTAGACAAACGTTAAAAATCTGTCAAACTCCATACAAAAAACACCGGTTATCGTTAAAATTGCGGTCAAAGTTAGGTGGTGCAACTCAGCCTAAGTGTTTAAATAACTACAGTTGCAATTAGTAACTGCAGTCGAGTATAAAATATGATATCAATGAATGATAATAGCTGAAATATAAGCTAATCCAGGATTAATATTTAATTACTGTGAAACTGATCAAATTTTTAATCACTACGCTGCATTGGCAATTCGATAACGTTTCCCGTAAGCGGATTAATAACGGAATATGATACTGCATTATTAACCTACAAACAAACCTAATATTTACCAACATAGAACCTCATTACTAAAGCTTCAACCACACTAATAAGGTTCAGCCAAACCAACGCGATCACACGCGATCAGCCGTCAATGCATTGGTAATCAGGTTCTATATATTGGTAAATATTAGGTTCACCGAACCTAAACGAGTGCAGTGTGCCTACCACGAGTTTACGTTAGGTGAGCTCGCTAGCGAATACGTCAAAAAATTCTATGAAGATTTTATTTCTTGAAAGTAGCCGCTAGGGGCGCTGCACAATATGTCATACATTTAAATGTAATTTTTTTACGCAGTCGCTAGCGAGCACACCTAACGTAAACTCATGGTAGGCACACAGATCGCCATCGCCGGCGCGATCGCGAGGTCGCGCGACCCATGACAGTCCGCGCGACCTGTCATCCCAACTAATATCCCAACTAATATTATAAATGCGAAAGTAACTCTGTCTGTCTGTCTGTCTGTCTGTCTGTCTGTCTGTCTGTCTGTCTGTTACGCTTTCCCGCTTAAACCTCGCAACCGATTTTGATGAAATTTGGCATAGAGATAGTTTGAGTCCCGGGAAAGAACATAGGATAGTTTTTATCCCGGTTTTTGAAACAGGGACGCGCGCGATAAAGTTTTTCTGTGACAGACAAAATTCCACGCCGGCGAAGCCGCGGGCGGAAAGCTAGTTAGCCTATAAATAAATAAATAATAAATAAATAAATATCCTTGGACATTTTACACTGCGCCTCTAGTCCCAAACTAAGCAAAGCTTGTACTATGGGTAGCATAGACAACGGATATAAGCATACTTAAATACTTTATCATTAGCCTATGATTGCGCCAGCGATGGCGATCTGCACGCGTTGGTGTGGTTGCAGCTTAATAGGTAATTATCGACGGGTTTACCAACACGAAAACAGACTAAAAACTCATAACAGAATATTTTTTCAGTAATAAAATGTTTCATGTGGCAGAAACTGGTTGCATTTTCTTATTTCGAACGCTGCAACCACTAGGAAGGCTCTGTGATCAAACCTTAACAACATAACCTTAGCACTATTACTTATTCTGTGCCTTAGCATCGCAGCCGAAACGTCAAGCCGTGAGTACATGATGTAACTCATTAATAAACGTCGCGTTAAGACCCGTGTCTTACTATTTTAGTTAAACCTTAACAACGTTTAAAACTTGATTTACACTCATAAATTGATGAAATTCTGCCAGATGCAGGCCGCTACCAACTGGTCAATCAGGGTAATTCAAGTGCAATCTGTCATTTCAATCTATTCTATTTGTCATTTAGCTTGTTTAATCTGTGCTGAATAAAGTGCACAATATTTAAGCAGGATATGGTTGCACGCGGATTTTTAGAGAGTTAAATCTTTTGGCCAATAGAAAACGTCATAATAGTTATTATATGAACTGGGATTGGTCAATGACTTTTGAAATTAAAATCCGATGGCCTGAAAAAATCGGTTTTCCAACAAACGTCAGTTACGCGCAAGGAGGTTTAGCTATTTATCCATCGAAGTTAATAAGGGAGAAGACATAAGACTAATTTTATTATTTGCCTGCCGCGACCCGGTTTTTACGAACAATGACGATGACGAACGATGAACCAGTAACGAGGAGCACACTTAGCAATGCTTCCAGGTTGCGCCTCGGTATCAATTAAGTAACATTTTCCGTTAAGTTTACTTTATGGCCAACTAAAGGACTTTTGCCGTCTCCATGGACAAACTCGAAGTATGATAACTACAGTCATTGTCAAAATTTTGCACTGCCATTGCCGCTGGATACCATATATCGCTACTATATTCATAGATAATAGACTTTCAGTTAATCGTCAAAATTGACATTGTTTTTTAAATAACAACAAATGGTATGAATTTTTAAATGTGATATTTTTATAAAGGTAAGTCCCCAAAACAACATTTGATAGCCTATTTTCTTTCGTTGGCATCTAAGTTCCTGTTTTCTACATATATGTTACTACTACCTATTGGATAAGTAACTAAGAACTTTGTCGTTTATTCCATGTGAACAAAATCCCTAAAAGCCCATTTGTAATAATATTCTTACTAAACACTGCTGAAAAAGGACTAAACTTCTGAGCTATGAACGTATAATCCAGTAGCATTAAGTAGGTAGGTACGTATAGCGACGTTGGAACTTGATATAGAAGTTAAGGTAAGTGCCCCCTACTTCGGTATATTAAGGCTCTTACGACTTTAACATTTTATTTAAAAATAACCAAGCATGATATCAGTATGAAAGCTTTTGTATGCTAAACTTTGGTCTTTTGACAGTAAGTTAATACATAATTTATAGTTATATTGTTTGAACTTTTTTTTATATTAATTGTTCTGCGGACCTCTAGTTTGGATCCTGTTTCGTGACAAAATTTTGCTCTGTTTCTAAGTTCGTGAACTCATGTCCCCTATTTCGGGATAAGGCTTTATGCATCCAGTTAGGATATTTTAATAATGATTAAGGGTTTAATAAATTTAAAAACCATAATAAAAATTTAGAATAAAATAATTATGTGAAATTTACGATATTAGTTACCTGAAATATTCATAAGAATTAGAGATGGGCCGACTAGTCGCCGACTAGTCGGGAAAGCCGACTATTCGGCATCATTAGTAGTCGGCCGACTAGTGACGACTATTCGGCAAAATATGCCGATTATAATCGGCGCATTACAAAATTAAATATGTGAACAAAATACATAAACTCATAATCACCAAGATGATTATGAGGTAGACCAAGGGCGTTTGTCCTTTGTCTAAACCACTTTTGACTTCAAACGATCAGTAAAAAGTGGTTTCACCAGATTTAAAATTTTGGCAATCGGTCTAAATTCATACAAAGTTAAGATTAGTAATTACCATGAAATCATCAAAAATGTGTAAAGTTTATGTAATCCGTCCACATAAAAATTATGTCATTTTGTTTTTCGGGGAAAATATGCATGGAATTGCATACCTCTACTGCGGGGAAGTGGTAAATTATGTGGGGCTCCTCTCATCGGAAGGATGAGGAATACCCACATAAATAATAGCCCCTGAGCTCCGTCGATCGCCTTAGTGTGAAGAACTATAAATAGGAATCCGGACAAAGCCATCAACTATCACAGTCCGTCCCGGCAATTGCCCACCTGTATGGCGGGTCCTGCCTATCCGACGGTGGTGGTAGTCCGTGCAATGCAGGCGGGGGTACCCCCGCGCCCCCAGCTCGCTGACCATCACCGTGGAGGGTGGAGAGGAATCAGTGGGCCTAGGATGCGTGCCGCGATAAGCGCAATTGTGCCCATACATTTTGACGTCGATAAGTAAGAATAATGTAACGGCGCGCATCCTAATCCAGCAGGAGGCAATCATATTGTCACCTCCCCCCTGAAATCCCCCGCCGTCGAAAATTATGACATCTACCTCAGGTACTGTTAGGTGATTGTAATGTTGCTTTTTATTTTTTATCGTATTAAAAAAATCTCATTTCTTAAGAAGTTATAATATTTACCTCTTTAGAAATCTAGATAATATTCTTATTTCTTTGAGAAATCTAGATATTATTCTTCGGACAAGTAGGTATTAGAATGATCGGCATTGCCGATTAGTCGGCCGACTAGTCGGCATTTTGAAAACCGATTAGTCGGCTAGTCGGTTAGTCGGCAAAGACCATAGTCGGCCCATCACTAATAAGAATTAATGTGAGTCTAGAATTATATTTTGATTTGTTATTTCTAACAATATGTGAAAATATTTATATAACCATTCGAATTGTAGAGGGGGGGACTTAACCCCCCCCCCCCCTCGTACCTATAAAATTTAGATTTGTTATTTCTAGCGATATGTGAAAATATTTATATAACCATTAGAAATGTGGGGGTGGCTTACCCCCCCCCCCCTTCTCCCCATAATCCCACCCCTGGAGCTGTTTCAAGATGTTTTTGGTTTCGTGGATTCAATTTCGTTTAATTCCAGAAAATAATCAGTTCTATTGTGCAGTTGTGTTCTTCTACTTGACGATAACGTTTTATTGATTAATTGTTTATAGTTTTCTTTCCTAATAACTCCTAAAAAATGACTGAAGTGCAGTTGCAAGAATTCAAATTGGACCCAGACTCGGAGCTACGTTTCGAGGTTGAATCAAAGAATGAAAAAGTGGTTTTAGAAGTGAGTTAAACAAAAACCATGCTAACTTTAATATTTCTAGTGCTATAATTTACTTGAAAAGTGATTTTTTGTTTGAATATCATGTCATAATTGGGTCAAATTTGTTTTTATAGGTTAAGAGTGGGTATGCAGAGTTGTTTGGCACGGAGCTGGTGAAAGGGAAGCCTTACGAGTTCCACACGGGGGCGAAGGTAGCCGTGTTCACGTGGCACGGCTGCACGGTGGAGCTCCGGGGACGCACTGAAGTCAGCTATGTGGCGAAAGAAACTCCTATGGTGAGAACTTCTCATTTTCAGTTCTGCAACTAGTTTTTTCTGTGTAAATTATGTTATTCTTGTGCTAATTTTCATTTTCAAAATTGATTTAAATTATTTTTAGAGTTTGTTCCAGCGTTTCTTCTCAGCACTTGCCATATGTTTGTCTCGAAGCGCTGGTAGGGCCCAAAAGATATGGAGACATGTAAAGTGCCCCATAAGGGCTACCTTTTCTTTTTTCTTTTTTACTACATTTTGACATTCATAAGTGCCACTTGTGGTCTAAACTGAATAAATATTTTTGATTTTGATTTTATGTAAAAATACAATTAATATAAATGTGGTGTAATTTAGTTTTTTAATACAATAACACATGCATGCTACATCATTCTTTGTGATTAATTTGTTTTTTGTGTATAATCTCTTTTAGGTCGTATACTTAAATGTGCACGCAGCACTTGAGCAACAGAGGGTGGCGGCGGAACAAGAGAATACACGCGGCCCCGTGACCATGGTGGTGGGTCCCGGAGACGTGGGCAAGTCCACGCTGACGCGGATCCTGTTAAACTACGCCGTGCGGATGGGTCGGAGGCCTATATTTGTTGATTTGGATGTTGGTCAAGGAAACATTAGCATCCCTGGAACTATAGGTAGGTTGATATGCCCTACAATGTTGTGTTCTTACGATTATAATAAAGTTATAATTGAGCAAACCTCTTAAACAGAAGCACTCTCTGATTACTTGCTAATCTAAGAAGATAAGCAAGTAAGACCCCAATTTTCCTTTCTACAGTGAATGGCTATAGCAGTTATATTATATCTGGGTTACTGTTGTGGAAAGAGTTAATAAATGGCAGCATATCAGACTTCAAAGTCGCTTTATTAAAACTTTATTGACGTCAGTGTGCTTTATGTTCCATCTTCTCTTATTTTGTCCATAATATGAGTGACATTTTGAATCAACAAGTTCTTTTAACCAGGTGCAATGCTGGTAGAAAGGCCTGCGTCTATCGAAGAAGGTTTCAGCCAACAGGCACCGCTGGTGTACCACTTTGGCCACAAGTCTCCCGGGGAGAACCTGGAGCTTTACAACACCATTGTCTCGCGGCTAGCCGAAGTCATCACCGAAAGGTGTGAAAACAATAAGAAAGGTACGCTATGAGAATACATGCTTTATCATTGTAAGATTATCAAGATAAAATATGTTATAACAGAGATTTCAAAGAACTATTGCTACACTACATTATAATAAATTATGTTTTTATTACAGCGGCAACTTCAGGAGTTATAATCAATACATGTGGCTGGATTAAGAATGCCGGTTACAAAGTTCTCACACATGCAGCGCAAGCTTTTGAGGTGACTATTTCATACTTCTACTTTATAATATTTTGAACTATTATGTTTTATGTTGCATTTTTTACTATAAAATTATCACTCCACGGGATATTACAACGAAACTTTTATAACGGTAGATAAGATATTTACCCTCCCGACGTTTCATTTAGGTTGCATGAGTCATGGTCGCGGGCAGACTGAAGAGATGCGGCGTCGTCTGCTCCGGCGTTGTAAAATCCCGTGGAGTGATAATTCTAATACTTTCTACTTAATTCAAGATTTATTCTATGGCAATATGACTGACTGAAAGGCTTATGTGTCTCTTTAGTATTCTGAGGTACTTTTGCGTCCATTACCTCAAAAACACTGCCATATTAAAATAACTTATTTATTTAAAAAACTGGACGCAGGCCGCTACCAATTGATCAACATGGAAAGCATTGGGGGAGGCCTATGTTCAGCAGTGGACGTCCTATGGCCGAAATGATGATGATGATGATGATTTAAAAACACTGCAATATTAAAATNCCACTATTACAAGTTTTATTTAAATGGTCGTTCTTTCGCCTTTTTATAAGCTTAAGAAGTTGGAGCGCTAACCTTACGGTGAGAGCAACCTTTGGAAGCCGCTCGGCTGTTTTTGGCTCTCTGAGAGTTTGAAGCTTCATATTGCTCTCATTTTTGGCGCCACAATGTTGGTACTTGGTTTTTTAGATAGCTTAAATAATAGAGTTTTTGTAGTAATGAAGAATTTTTATAAATAATATTCCATTTGCTTATTATTTGAGCTAGAAAAAAAACTTACGAACTTACGTACTATCACGAACTAGTAGCCGTTTACCTTAGCTGTTTTATATTTTTTTTCACAGCAGAAATCTTTATCTTTGATCTTAATATCTGATCGTACGTATTGTCTTTTAAAATATTACATTTGCCTAAATAAAAATAACCGACCTGCTGCCATTGAAGTAATATTACTACGTATAGAACAGACATCGCGAACAAAATATGTACAGTGCGGGGTGCGGGGCGGGAATTTGACGGGCAGCTGTCAGTCAAATCCATGACTATCAAGTTTCATAATTTATGGCGATAAAATCTGCACCAGAAAATGTCGTACTTCATTGATAGGATTGCACGAATAGTGACGTTCCTGCGGTCGCCTCATCATAGACATTGTGAATCGATTGTGAAAATAAACAAATCGGCTAAATTGTGTTAAATTTTCATGGTGCTCAATAGCAAAAAGGTTCAGCTACTTACATTATTTTCTTTTATATTATTGTGCGTTGCCTGTAATGTAATCTAAGCTCCCCTCCCTTAGACTAAAATTAGCCCTCCTAGACAAGTGACAAAACGTAGCAGTTGAAACATTCGAAATCACTTCGCTCTGCCGTTTTTTGGTGTTAGTTACTTCACTCTGTGATGCGATTTTAAAATTACAACTGGCGATTCCGAATTCACAACTGAGGGGACTGAGGCTAATCGTGTTACTTGTGCTACAAGTGCGTATGGGCTTCATACCTACTGATGCTTAAGCCATTAATTATTTTTCTTCCCGATTAAAATCTAATGTAATCGATAATCGTATAAGGTGACAATCGTTAAGTAATTTCACATATAAAAATCATTATTTCATTGCTTGGGGGTCTTGGGGCGAACGATGTATGGACGCAGAACAATATCCTTTATTTTCAAATTTAAGCAAAAAGCATTCTGTGGTTATAAAATACCTATGCTTATTTGCACCTAGTTTATCAATCACCATGTTAATTCCATGCTTTCTATCCAGTCGACTGCTCTAACGACAAGGGTGGGCAGTCGTTGAGATGACAGCGCGAAAATCGTCGGCATCCACTAATTATGACCCTTATGTACCACTATATTGACAAAGTTCTCCGTCTTCGTACGCGATATTGGAAATTTGGCATCTACCATCGGCTGATCTGACATTAGGCGTAGTCTGGCTTTGATATTCAATTTTCAACTGTATTACCTTGACAATCAGTTCAAAATTGATTACTAGAAAATTATTTGACAGACGATTTCTACTCTCGACAAATGCATTTGAATTAGCCCACTGGATATCAACGGGAGATCTATTTTCAGCAGTGGACGTCCTATGGCTAAAATAACTATGATGATGATCGATGAAATCCTGAGAATAGTTTCATTTTGATATTTAAACCGATCTCAGATCCCAGATTTGAGTAGGTATCGTATCATGATGCAGTTCTAATTTCGCGAGAAACATCTGGTAATTCTCAACTGCTTCGACCTCTCCAAACCATATTACTTAAAAGAAACAATCAAATCCATTCAAACCAGCAAAACAGGGAAGCTAAAGAGATCATACTAAATGCATCTTTATTACAAGAATGTTAAGTCAACAATTCCAATAACATGGTTTGCAGAACTGGAACAAATAAGAGGAAGCGACGGTACCGGCGCGTACAACTTTGAATAATTGGACATATAGATATATCCGGAGTATGGACGCAAGTTATTTGTATGGTATTGAGTTATTATTATGTCTGGAGTAGCGTTGTTTATATTAGGAAACGGACTTTCGGATATGAACGGAAAGTACGCAATAAACGCTGAAATATTGGATACCCAATAAAACAAAAGTAACTGATATGAACATCATCATCATCATCATTTCAGCCACACAGGACGTCCACTGCTGAGCAAACTTCCACATTGCCGGTTGGTAGCGGCCTACATCCAGCGCCTTCCGGCTACCTTTATCAGATCGTCGGTCCACCTTGTGGATGGACGTCTCACGCTGCGTTTTCTGACGTGAACAAATCAAATTAAACACTGCATTATCTTCATGTAGTTATACCAAAATTAAATTCTATCTTGCTGTAGTTAAATTATCTTATATGCTGTTGACTGGTAGACTAGGTATAATACACAAAGGAATAACTCTTCAATATTGCGATGAATAAATTTATAAATTCTAGCATTCGCATTAGTGCATAGAGACAAAAACACCATAATTTTATGCGGTATTTCCATTACTTGGGTTAAAGTTAAAAGCCATAACACTTTTAAAATGAAAGTGTTTCATATGATATTATAGTCTTATACCCGTTTTCACCATCAATCCCTAATTTTTAAGTGACCCCTATGGTAACACAATAGGAATTTTGTTGTTATAGTGATCATTTAAAAAATTAGGGATTGATGGTGATAACGGGCATTAGATCCTTAGGTATGTCTGCGAAACCCTCTCCACGAATGGTTCATAAAATATAACCAGTCAACACTTCAACTTGCTCGATGAAAGCAGTCACACTGAATTCATCTTTATTACGAAAGGGGTAAGTCAACAATTCCAATTACTCCGCTCTGCAGAACTTCAACAAATAAGGGGAAGACGATTGTTCCCACGCGTTCAACTCTGACTAATTGTGATTTGATACGTAATATGGAATGGATACTAGTTATTGTAGTGGCAAAGATAATGAACAAACATGCTTACAATATCTGCATATTATTTATAATGTTAATTCTTATGTCTCTACAAGGAAATGTCAGTATTTAAAGTTAGTAGTTAATCCACTGACCAAACGTCAATTCTAAATAAAGAAAAATAATATAAATAAATACCTAAATGAAGTCTTAAGGCAGAAAACCAAAAGTTAGCAAGACAGCCGGGTGCCCCTTGAGAAAAACTTACGCTCAGCAGTGGACTTCAAACATAAATTCCCTTCAATGCAAATTGAACATTCTTCAAACACATTTTATCGTGTGTCTCCCATTTCTTGTCGTCCCAACCCTACTGCAGCGTCCTCTATTATAATGACCCGGACGGAAAACTCATAACGGCCATCGTTTTCCACGCAAATATTTGGTTCGGAGTCCGATTGTTTTCGCGCCAACGCAAACAGTCGCTCAGCGGCCGGATATTCGATATTACATCAAAACAACACGAGCGTTCCATTTCCGAATGAGAATTGTTTGTTTCTTTGCTTCTATAAACAAATGACGGCGCGCCACTTATGTGTTTTCTTCATTCTCTTATATGCCAGCATTATAATAATATTATTATGGAGAGTAATTAATTAAACTGATTAAGAAAATAAACCTCTTTGGATACAAAAGAGGTACTTAGTTTTGTTTTTTATTGATCACCATGTTATACTTAGCTGCTCGTTTGCCTCCTGTCACATAAAAAAAATACTTTCTTATTTATTTTTACAGAAGGATAGTCAGAGAGCATGTAACATTACGTCATGGTAAACAGTCATATTAGTATTAAGTAGTATTGAATGGGCTCCGAAATTACTGGACTGATTTGAAAAATTCTTTCACCATTAGAATCCAACATTATTTCTGTTGAACATAGGCGGTACGAAGTTCGCAGGGTCAGTTAATGTAAAATAAAAAAAATCGTTTATTACCAAAATAACAATTACATTTCTCATAATAACGTTGGCCTCCACACTAGGCAAGCCTGGACTTAGGTAGCTACAATTGGATTGTACGATTGAAACTCCACAGCCCAACCACAAGCAAGAGGCAATATAAAAAAGAACTACAATAAAAGAATACAATCCTCCTTGATGGAGATATAATCTGCGCCAATTACCCGACTAAATGAAATGGCTCTGGCGGCGTAGGGCTCGCTTGGCAAGAACGTGCAACGATATTTGGCTGGCCAATTTCACGGTGTTGCCAGAATATTATGAAGTGCAGTTAGTACGAGTGTTGAGGATAATGCTCTTTAATAAACCGGCTTAAAAAATCATGGCGTTGAGAAAAATGCTAAATAGGTACCTTTGTTTGTTAATTCTCATTGTCTTTGCTCTGGAGGGAAAGCGATCTGTAACAGTTAACGTCCAGCCTCTATTTTCTTCTAATTGATTTCGTTATGGGCTCGACAAAGTTGACTTTCACTGGTTGGTTTGGTTGGTTGGTTTGGTTACACAGGAGTTGCAGCCAGGACGAGAAGTGGTAATCGTTCCGCATTGGTCACTGCAGGAGAAAAACCCTCTTCTAATTTACTAGGGGCAAATGGGGAATTTGGCTTTCACTCCCCATACTGG